GTCAAGCTTTAGACAAAACGTATCAGATCTCCGACTGGGAACGGCGTCCGTTAAGCGAGGATCAGCTGATTTATGCAGGTAACTCCTACTTTTGAAGAACAAGGAATGAATAAGGATTAGAGACTGGGTAAAAGTTTTAATTGTGATGATTGTTCTATTAAACTGTTATAGTTTCGAGCCCGGTTATTATAGATTTATCATAACTGAGCTGTAACTTAATACCGAGGTGAAATCATAATCTTTATGGAGCAACTCACTTTGTCAAGGGCGATCATCATAAACAACTCATCCATTGCCTCCATTGTATTTACCGGGTGTGTACTGATCACTGAATCCGGTTGAATCCATGTAGCCGCTACAAATGAAATGTCTCTTCTGTGGGAAAGCAAACGAAGCACAACTTTGTAGCTTTTGTAACAGCCGGTTTTTCGAGTGGTCAATAAAATAAACTACCAGCCACGCATGCCAGGTGAAGCAATCTCGATTTCACAATGTTGTTTTTAATTGATTAAATTTTGTTTTTAGCTGTTACCATCTTTGTTGCATTATATATTCATGTCGTGTATGAATACTTTTGTATCACGTATCAAATGAACATAATGCTTTGTCTAAATGTAGTCGATTCTCTCATAAACTTGTGTATTACGATCCATCCAATTTCCTTTTTAGATAGGATGATGAGAAACAACTATGTGGAAATAAACAAGACAATTCCGTTTGTTGTAAATAACTTGTTCTATTCTCTGCCTAGCTTTAGATGCTTTCTGTTTGCTGGAGATTTACGAGGTCCTTAAACAGTGGGTCGTGGAGTCGAGGTTACGAGTCGATATGGAGCCTGGTCTTGTGCTTACATGGTTACATCCGAAGAAGGAAAAACAGCGGTATGTTGTTTTTTATGGTGGTTCTTTTCTCTATCATTCGGAAAGACAAGTCTTGATACAAAGAAGAATTTACACGATAGCCAGTCCGCATGTCTGCTTATAAAGAAACCTGTGTGCAAAGAGAAGGCTGTCATGAAGGTGTTCTTCTGCCTTAGGTGTGCTTATTGGAGTGCCTGCTGGACGCGCCATTCCATTTCATGATAATCAAACTCTGATTAGCACATCTTGCTTTCTCTAACTTACACTCTTTTGTGTCTTACTTGACCACAAGCTCTTGAGACCAACCACAAAGAAACTTGTCTTGCAAAAACTTTCAGTGCCGTGAGATAATATAATTTGTTGGACATGTAAGAACCTAGCTGGGACTGGTTAATACATTAACGAAGCGTTTAGAAACTTGTAACATTGACATTTGATGCATGGCACGCAATTTTTCCATCGTTAGCAACTCCTTTACCTTACTACCTTACTTGTTGCTAGTATTATTAGTATTTAGCCTCGATGTTTTGTGTTTTGTTGCAGTCGGAGCAGACGGAAGCAGCCGAAGCCAGGCACGCGCTCTAATGTGAGTCGCCACAATCTTACTTCACTTGGACAGGTTTTCACATGAAAACCGGCAATTCTAATAGAAAATTATTTGAACACATTTGTAAGAACATGAACTTTTTTCTCTTTAATCTGCAGTGGGTTTTTCTTTGTATGTAAAGTGTGTGTTGTCACCTGATCGTCTCTGGAGGTTTTACTTCTGTGGCGTTTGCAGTGAAAAGGTTGAAATGTTTCTAAAGAACATTTCTGAGCAGTTCATATTGAAATGCTTAGTTGTGAGTGACATCAAGAGGGTTTAGTGATTATGTAAAGACATTTCGTAGTGTTTACGAAGCACAGCCGATGAATAGGTTTTTCACGATTTTAGAATCCGACAGCACACCAAATACGAGGGCGTCTGTGCTGAATGAAGACATGAGGCTCGGTCACATGGCTTCCATTCTTTCTTCTTTAGGATTTGCTTCCTCATGCGAAGAAAAGAGATCCCATTCCTCCTCAGTCACTCAGGGTCGTGGTTGATACAATGCTGCAAGGTCTGGGTCAACATTTGAGATGTTGCGGGATTGATGTAGTTATTCTGGATAACAAGGGCGATCACGAAAGAGCAGTTAAGGTAGAGCAGTAGTCTAACAGTGGCCCGGTGTTTCGCGCGCTGCGCTTCGCACCGAGTGCTCTGGGCTTGACCCCTAGCGGAACATTTTGTTGTGCTTTCTGTCAAGTTTTAGTCGTTGTCACCGCCCCTATCATACTTGATTCCGTATGTTATAAACTGAGTGTTTCATTGACTAAGTAAAGCGAGGGTTGCGTCGTCCCCGTAAAAATATATTTATTCCTTGAAGAGAATCATATAAGTGAAGAAATTTGAAAGCGGCAAGGAAGACGCGATAATCTTGTTAGCTAAGTTTTGAGGGCCTTTCTCGTTCCGTGGTGGTATAGTTTTCTCTCTAAAGTATGTAAATAGTGACACCTTCCTTAAAGTATAAAACTCGTCTCCTTTAGGAGGAGTATCCATACTATGGAGGTCAGCGGACTTTAAATATATTGAGGTTTTTGTTTCTGTTATCAGATCGCCCAAACTGAGGATAGAATCATCCTGACAACGGGCTTGCCATATGAACAGGTAAACGTAGTTATTAGACATTTGCAACCGTCTTCTTTACGAACTAACATCCCGGATAAATGATGGATGTTGTGAATCTCGAAAGAGAAAGATTAAAGGTAGATATCTTGGCATGAGTTACTCATTCTCCCTCAGTATCAGCGATTTATTGGGTTTCCTTTCAATCGATCCAATAACACTTACGAGTAAAGGATAGGTACGATTTTCAAAAAAGTGTACAGAGAAGAGACGCATAAATATAAAGAGTATGGATATGGGGATAATCAAGTGAATGGAGAAAGTAAAAAAAAAAAGAATTCATCTACTTTTACACTTTAAAGAAGAGATAAAGACTTAAGTACCACTTTTTGGAAAGACTGATGCCATGCTAGTTTGTTTGTTCGTTGTTTAGTTGCGTGCCCGGGTACCTGAAGGAATGTGCGTTTGTGTTCCAAGTGGAAAGATTCGACAACAAGTATCGGCTCTGGTGAAATATTTTAACGTGCAAGTAAAGAAACAAGATATCTTTAGTCGCTGTCAGGTTTGTGTGTGGCTCTGTGGTTAGTGCGAGCTTTTCTTTAGAGGGTTTTCGTAAAGTCAAAATGAGGATAAATAAATGGATGAAGTGCCTAATAATTTTTCGTTTCGGGCGTAACCCTTCTTCCGTGTGGTAAGGTCAAGTTTGCAAATCAGGAAACTTGTGCATTATGTTGAAAATTTCTTTAGCGTACGTGGAATGATTTAGAAGAACAACTTCGACCTGGCCGTTAAATCGGGTTCGTATCAGAAAGATTGGTAACTCTCTTGATTTCACAGGTGATAGATGAATGAAATTTCAGCTTTTGTGTATTATATCACGCCAAATCCTTGTATTTTAAGTTTCATCTTCAATGAATTTGTTGTAGGTCTGCAATGGGGATGATTTCGTGAAAGTTCATAAGGATGACATGCGATTAGTCATGGGGATCTTCCATGGTCGTTTTAGAGCCCCACTGCCCGGCTTTGAGCCAAAGAACTGTCCTGTGAATCTTAAGGATCTGACTTTACCCAGCGGAGTGCCTCTGAAGCTTGGTCCATTACCTGAAACTGTAGTGGACAGTGTGGATTTGTTCTTTTGTTGTTCCACTTGTGGTAAAATTTTCTGGGAAGGGGGACATCACAAAAGAGTCAACGCACAATTTTCTTACGTCCTGGACAGTTCCCAATAGCAAAACCCATCTTAGCTGTCTTTATTAAGTGGAGTAGCTCCCAAGTTTGTCCCAAAAATATATTTCGTTACTTTCTGTCGTCTAACAAGTGAATGATCTTCAAATTACTATCACATGATTGAAGAATCCAAAACTCGTGTCGTGGTTTAGAGACACGGGGTAGAGACACCACAAATTTGAGACTCTTGCCGTTGGTAAACTCAATATTGAGATACTGTTCCCCTGTTTGTAATGGCAAGAAAATTTTAAACATTTTCGCCATTAACGCTCACACATTCTGGAGAAACCACAACTTTATCGATGAACATTGTTGACTGGTCAACTCTGTTGATAGATACACGATGGAGAGACATTGCGATTTATTTCCTGTTTCGTTGTTGATGAATACACGATGCAGACACCGTTGATTTAAAAATGTTTCCTTGTTGCAAACATTTGATATAGAAACCACACCTGTAAAACATTTTCATAAATTTACAATGTAGAGACACCACCACTTTACAATCGTCCCTTTTCTTTACAAATAAAATAAATTATGTTAAGACTTAGTAAAACTCTTATCCCAATTATCCTCTTGTTGAACCTTTTGACATGCTGTACACATCACCCCTTTAAAACTTTGCTTTTGTTGATAAACGCGATTAACAGGCACCACAACCTTAAAATTTTCCTTGTTAACGAACAGACTTTTGCAGACACGCACAACTTTAAAGTATTATCTATTATTTGAGAGACATACAGTTAAGAGATACCACAGCTTTTAAACTGCTTTGATGTTGAACACTTGACGTAATCACTTGTTTTGTAGGACTTCGACGTAATGAAAAAACAGGGTGAACGTACTCTAAAATATGCTTGTTTAACTTTTCACACACTTTACGAAGACTGGCGTTGTGTTTAATTCAACTTTTGCTCGAACCGTTTTCTATTTGGGTACAGCCCTGTAGCTTGATAGATCGATAACTTCACTTGACCGTTTGATTCCAGCTTATAAGCATCACTCACCATCGTTTGACATAATTCATCGCCATTCCATATCGTTTACCTTAAATGGATATCAGTCACCGAAACCGATAGACATTATCAACCGTAATTGATTTCCATTGGCTGTGAAATTGTCACATTCGACTGTCCGATTACAGGTTGTTATGAACAAATAAGCCCTCTTTTTAGTTTGGAAGTGATTTACAGTGAGCTAATTGCTGGGGATGATCTTGGTAACTTGGGACATAGCAAACGTTGTCAGAACAAGGCAACAACATGAAATAGGTGTACCAGGTTTTCATTCAATTTATTTTACAGTGGTAAGGTTCCCTTTGGAAGGGCTTCATCAGCCACAAAGTTAGTTTTAGTATCAACACAGACCTGAATAAAGGTCATCATTACTTTTCCTTCTCCTCATTATCTATAATACTCCGGAGTCTTTCAATTCAGTGTTAAAAGGTGCTACGGTGAAGCTACTTACCCTATCTAACTAATTTTTTTTTTTAGCGGCCGGTACCAGTACTAGTCACGCTTTCTCGTAAAATCTGTAAACCTTTTCAATCTCAAAAGCAGCCAAAACTGAATTTCTCCTTACAACATCGATACATTTTGACGAAGGAAGGAAATGAGAAGATAAAACAATAAAACCGACGTGATGTACTTGAATTGACACAAATTTAAAAAATCACCAAAGGAATCTCGCTTGATAAATAAAACCTCATTCTCAGAGCTAAAATGTTAAGTAATGTATTGTAGAGAATGTGGAAAATCATTTGCTATTACGAATTCGGTAGTAAAACATAAATATTCTCTAATGTTAGTTCTTTTATACCTCCGAGTGAGATATAAAACCTAAATAATGAGTGTAATCGGGTTCACTGTTATCTACTTTCTGGAAGCCTGTTATGCCGACATGACGATCTAAGGATGTTGAGCAAACAGGTGATAATATAACCTTCTATTGGTTGGAAATCGTAATCACGACAATTAGCCCGTGAGCGAATGCTATCTAGGTTCACTGGATCTTTAACTTGCTCTTGCTCACCAACGAACCAATTATCCAGAGAAACGCAGATGCAATGAAAATTCCACGAATAACACCGATGTAAGCAGCAGGAAGAACTGAAAAAGACAAAAAAACCAGAAAAAAATAACTATTGTTTTCCCTCGTGGTCATACAAATGGGTCCGGAATGAGCACATAAGCAGTGTAGTCGAGAGTTACCCACACACCACTTTACGCAAGAAATATTCTTTTGCTTAAAAAACAAAACGAATGACATTTCAAATTTAGGTGCTTAATGCTTTCAACTATCTACTTAAGTTACGAGCAAATGGGAATTCGGGGGCCAAAGAAGCTTTTTATTTCTGAATTTTTTTTTCTAAACAAGAGGGAAATGGCTTTAAAGGTCGTAATTTTCTCTTGGTTGTTCTATTCAATTTTTCGCTGGGGTTACATTCTGAACGAAACGTTATGACTGGCATTATCAGTGTTAAAATTCATTGCCATTTACCTCCAGTGTCTAAGTTTTGAGAAGACAGCACAAGATCAACAACGAGGAACAACAAACAACGGAATAACTCCATGTAAGGGGCATACCACCTGCAATTTCCACAAACAAAAATCAACAATTAGCAGATGTGTTTACGGCAAATGACCTTTGTGATCAAACAGCACTGAACAATATTTTTTGGATGAAACAAAATGTGTCTCGCATGAAAAGTTTATTGTTGGATGAACTTCCACCCAAAACCAGAAAAATTACGAAAGAAACTTTTCCTGACGATGCATGGACCAAAATATATTTCACGTATGATTACTCCCGTAAGCTATTCGGATTCCTTGACCGAGATGTTCGAACTCTGTTTACACTGGCATTGTTTCTTAATTATAACTTCCAATAGCATATTTTAAATGAATAGTCCTTACTTGTTATCAAACAGAGCTCCAACACTTGAAATTG